ATGAATTGTAAAAAAGAAGCAAGAATATCTGAAGCAGTTTTCATTTACAATATCGTTAATCATGTTTCTAAGCTCATTTATTCCTAACATCTAAATTGTTCCTGGATGCACAACATACAGTTTTGTAGCCTAGTGGTTAAAATGCTCACCTGTCACACCAAAGGCCCGGGTTTGATTCCCACCTGAATACAATGTGTGAAGCCCATTTGTGGTGTCCCCTGCCGTGGTATTGCTGTAAATACAGCTTTAACCTCAGTGGGGTACTCACAGTATAAACATTCAGTCTCGGTGATTTAAGTTGTCAAAGCAAGCTAAAATCCCATTATCCAACTGACTGACTGAGTTTGGTTTTACGCCGCTTTTCGCAATATTCCAGCAATATCACGGTGGGGGACACCAGAAATGGGCTTCACTCATTGTACCCATGTGGGGATTCGAACCCGGGTCTTCGACGTAACGAGCCCCCCCGTTATCCAAAGGAATATATCAATATCAAGGTCTACCTCATAATGACTTCATTCATAGAAGAATCTTAATAGAACATGGATAACCTAGAACAAGGCTTGTGTCAACATATTCACAATAGTCATCATAGTAACAGTCCGCCTATATGGCGCTCATGTACATTAATATCCCTGGTCATAGGACACCATTGTACTATCCGATACTTTTTCAACTCCCTGAGGAACATACAGCCATGCTGCCTGTTAGGTGCAATGAACTTATCACTCATATTCCCAGCACATCCTAACGGGTACCCATTTTACAGCCAGGTGTACTGAGACAAAGTGGATCTAAGTATCATGTCCAAGGATACTACGCAAATGTGTCTACCTTGGGACCCGAACTTAGGTGCCTCCACCGGGGATCGAACCCGGACCTTCAACGTGATAGGCAGAGTAATATGTTTAGTCTCATGTTATATGTATGTGTTGCTTGCGGAATTAAGGGTTAGAACTTACCTCCAGTAGCCTGTCTGGTTGCTTGTGGCAACCATATGATCGGCTGGTTGGAATCGGTGTCTTGGTCAGTGACATGTGATCAGTTTAAACGGCATGGATCGTTGGTCATGATGTCTGCCATCATCTTCCTGGAATATTTCTGAGTGTGGCTTTAAACACACAACAAATAATTTGTGAGTGACCACAAGATTCAAGATGCTTGTAACACATGTTTTTCTACGCCCCCAAGACTAAACTAAGTAATTCAGGAAACAATTAAACAGAACCAGAAAAAATTAAAAAAAATTCCAAAAAGGGAACCATGCTTGCTATCAGTGTGTCAGTTGTTGTAAGTTTCAGTTTGTGTATTTTGCACCATGTATTTTCTAAAAAATTTTTGCATAATGATATAAAAAATGATATAACGATAACTACTTGACGCATGATCTGTTGTGTTTCAGATAATAATCTAGATATGTAAATGTTTCTCTGGTATTTCGTTGTTGTCTTGTGTTGAGTGAGTGAGGATATTTTACACAATAATGGCACTCGGCAATATTCCAGCTATATGGCGGCTCTTGTGTAGAGTGAGTTTAGTTTTACGCAATAATGGCACTCGGCAATATTCCAGCTATATGGCGGCTCTTGTGTAGAGTGAGTTTAGTTTTACGCAATAATGGCACTCGGCAATATTCCAGCTATATGGCAGCTCTTTCGGAGAGCCTTAATAAATATGTAAATATGTCACATGTATTGATCTATGAAAGACATTCCTCAAAGGAGTGCTGACTGATTATCAAAAGGATGCTAGAAATATCTTAATTATGCCACATTTTAATAACATTTTTGTCAGAACTTTCTCTGCTTGACTTTGACTTTGCATTGCCCTAAATTGTGTTTTCTAATATGTCTTACTTCTTCTGACTCTTTACTGGAATATATTCTTTATTGACTGCGTCAGAACACACTTGGAGCTTCTCTAAAGGCATAACTCATAACTCAGTTGATAGGATGGCTACCCCTCTGTCAACAGATCCGTGAAGACCCGGGTTGGAATTTGGTCTTCAGCAACCCATGCTTGTCATAAAAGGCCACTAATGGGATCAGGTGGTCAGGCTCGCTGACTTGGTTGACACATGTGATCGTATCCCAATGGTGTAGATTGATGTGCCTGCTGTTGATGACTGGATTGTCTGGTCCAGACTCAATTATTTCCAGATTGCCGCCATATAGCTGGAATATTGGTGGAGTGCGGCTTTAAACAACTACTGAACCAAACCTGTTGGAAGGTTTTGTTGGTTTTTTTATATGTATTGTACACGCAATGATCCTCCTAACCATCCAGTGAGTGGCTTGGATTCAATATGAGATTTGTTCCGGATGTTCTGATTGGCAGACTTGTTTAGCAGATAATGTACACAAAGAATCAGGAATGTTTTTGACTTTTTTTAATAATCAACAGAGCTCAACCATTCTGAAAGTGTTACTTGATTTAATTATTTCCTTTTAGCATCATCTATGAGAAACTGAATATTTATTGCTTGAAAAGAACCATAAGAAGATCTGTGTCGAGTTAATTTTGATTTACCCAGTCCACAGTGTAGTTTCTGTGGCAACAGTTTGCTCTTTGGTCTTCTATATGTTTACAGGGGCAGTGGGGTAGCCTAGTGGGTAAAGCGTTCGCTTGTCACGCCGAAGGCCCGTGTTCGATTCCCCACATGAGTAAAATGTGTGAAGCCCATTTCGGTGTCCCCCGCCGTGATATTGCTGGAATATTGCTAAAGCGGCGTAAAATCAAACTCACTCACTCACTCACTCACTATATGCTTACTTAACATGTTGAAGTTGGGTTTTCAGACTACAATGTATACATTTTTCATTTTGAGAAATATGGAATTGCTTTGAGAATCCCAAAATGTTTTTGTAGTCACCAAACTGTGTTGTGTTTCCTTTGTAACCGAGGAGATGACCTTGACCTCTATGAACTTGACCAGTGTGTGATGTTTAGCATGCGGTTGGCGTGCAATGTTTTTCCAATATATTTATATAACCAATTTATTCTTTATTTACACAAGAGCTGCAGAGCCAATGGATTTGTTTTGTACTGATTTATTGTCATTTGGGAAGATACAAGCCCTTGATTAATTATTTGATGTTGCCCAACATATATAGTTATTATTATAGATATAAAAATGTTCTACCATCCCAATGGTAATACTAGATGATTATATTTTCTGTACTCATAACAAAGTTTAGAATTTCAAAAATATGAACTTGAAGAACAGTATGTTCACTAATATAAAAACACTAATTAGGAATCTTAATATTGAAGAACTCATTATTGCTAAGCTCTAAATCTCAGCAGCACTATGAAATAGTTCAGACACCAAATGTTCGTGTGAAAGGTAAATCATATCCTGCTTAAACGATGGCAAGCATCATAAACACATGCAAAGACACATCAAGTGCTTCAATATGGCCTAAACTTAAAGAAAGCTACACTAAGGAATTAATGTTTAACTTGTGACCAAAGTTTTTGGGACACTCCTTGAAATCTTTGTTAAAGGACACTGTTTAATTGTAATCAGGAACAGTGGGGTAGCCTCATGGTTAAAGTGTCCAGTTATCACGCTGAAGACCCAGGTTTGATTCCCTACATGGCTACAATGTGTGAAGCACATTTCTGGTGTCCCCTGCCAGGATATTGCTGGAATATTGCTAAAAGTGTCATAAAACCACAATCAATCAATCAATCAATCAATCACAATTGTCTTCTGAGATAACAATAAACTACATGTGATCCATAACAATGGGGATGAATACTCCCATGGTGCACATTCTAGCAACCTAACTACTGTGGTGGTCGCCTCTTTTGCCAAACTAGGGGATTCCTAGCAGCCAGTCCCGGCTTGTTGTATGAAGCGACTATGTCATCAGGAATGTTGTTGAATTCTGAATAAAATAACAAAAAGCAAATGTTATGGCAGTCATCATACACCTTGAACTTCTTCTCTGCTGCGATTCCTACTGACTTCATGTTAGTCGAAATGTGTTTAACAAAAATGGTTTGAGTTTGATATTAATATAGTTTTTACTGTGGTTTTCAGAAGATATGCAACAAAAAATGGTTATAGCGAACTAAAATAATGGGCCTTTGACTTTGATATAAATATAGTTTACTGTAGTTTTCAGAAGGAGATGTACAACAAAAAAATGGTTATAGCGAACTAAATTAATCGTCCTTTGAGTTTGATCATTCTCTTCCCACAGAGGTTACTTGTCATATCTTCCTACGAACCTCTGTTCTAATACGGCCATATTTCCCGGTTCTCGTAAAATCCCCTAGCGGCAAAAGATCGCAACACGAATTATCTCCCTTCTTTCTATCCAATCAGAACACGTGTTACATCGACTTAGATTCAACTTGACTAATACAAGCAAATGTGGGGCCACAAATATCCCCCCATCTGCCGGGGACTTGTGTTGATATTACACACAAGACGTTTAATGGCTAGCTTGTCCGTTGTCAACGAGGGCGATGGAGACGCCACTGATCCGCCATAACATGACTGAGTTCTGTCTAGAAGAAACGTTTGCGCATCGCGCAGGGGAAGAGGTTTAGTTTTCTCGAAGCATACGGAAATTACCGAGGCCTTGCGAATGATCACTTTTGAAACAACGTCGCTGATTGCACAACTAAATCTGATTGCCTCCAATCACGAGTCTTGAACGCTCACACCATGAAAGGGCCGTATTAGAACAGAGGTTACGTAGGAAGATATGACAGGAGTAACCTCTGTGGGAAGAGAATGGAGTTTGATATGTAGATATAGTTTACTGTGGTTTTCAGAAGATATTCAACAAAAAATGGTCATAGCAAACTAAAATTAATGGTCTTTTGAGTTTGATATAAATATTATTTACTGTGGTTTTCAGAAGGAGATGTCCAACAAAATACGGTTATAGCGAACTAAAATTAATGGTCCTTTGAGTTTGATATAATTTTAGTTTACTGTGGTTTTCTTTGAAGCAAGTTAACATTATTTTCTTTGTTTTCAGAATCTCTGATGCCAGGTCAAAAGGAGATTTACAATAGTCGGTCAAGTCTTACAAGTGGCACAGCATCAACCACAAGTCCTGTCGAAACCACAGTTTAATGAACAACAATGGAGTCATTGAAGCATTTCAAAATCATCTACATATTTATTTTCTGTTGGACATGTATACATCATTAACAGCTCAGTTTGAACCAAGTCTATGACCTTGACAAAGATTGGGTAAAGAATGCTAACAGTCTCCATGAAACACGAGAAATAGCAAAGAACATGCTCACTGTTTGATCTTCAAGAATGAGGACTATCTTTATGGATATACAACTTCTTTATTCTATATAGGCGGCGTTTCGACATAGATTTTAATGTCGTTGTCACTACTTGCTTGACAACGACATTAGAATCTATGTCGAAACGTCGCCTATATAGAATAAAGAAGTTGTATATCCATACAAATAGTCTTCATTCTTCATCTACCTAACTTCTAGAATGCCAATCAAAGAATGTTTGATCTTCAGATTTGTTTGCCAATGCAAGGAGGTGTGCAGATTTGTTTCCTTGTTGTGTTGTTGTGATATAGGAGTTGTTTACTGCAGAAGCCTTGTAATGAATATTTGAATAATGTATGATATTTGCAATAAACTTGCCTTTAAATAGGATCTGATTTAAGTGAAGGGACATGTAATGAGGAGCAATAAAATTATCAACCTGCCCATGAGCAATATCTATATGTTTGATTTTACTCATATTAACATTATATTGGAATGTATTTGTTAATGTTTGACTTCAAACATTGACAGAAAAAAACTGTGGTTCGTTAGAAACTGATACAAAACTTTTGACAAGTGTTAGTACAATATATTTACAAGCAGTCTTTTGAGTCTGTTTCAATGATAATTTTTCCATTTCTAATTAGGCATTAGGGAAGCCAAGTGGTTAAATAGTCCACTCATCTTGCTGTAAACCCAGGTCAATTCCCCACATGTGAAGCCTATTTATGACGTCCCTGTAATATTGCTTGATTATTGATAAAAGCGGCATAAAACCAAACTCACTCACTCTAAACAAAATGTGACCCTGCTGTACTAAACTAGGTCTTAACATAGATTTGTAGTCTTCATAAGAAAATGACAATCTGTCCAAAGTTTTAAAACAAAGCTTAAAGATAACAAAGAAATTATCTAAGTAGAAGATGCAGCCAAAGATTCATGTTCTTCTTGTAACATCGGTAAAACTTATTACAAGATGCTGCATCAAATCCCGGTTGATGTTGGCCCATGAAGAGTCAAGTTGTGTTTCTCATGATCGATGTTCTTGTGTGAACCAGGCCATACTTGCAATTTATGTTCAGGCTGATCAATAAAGTTAAACAATTTCTGCTACAATTCTGGTTGCAACATGAGTTTGAACATGCCCTTATTTAATGCAACGGTTGTGTCTTTGTTTTTTCTGTATCCTCATGTTGTAGGTTTTGGATGCTAAAGAATTATACGTTTTCCAGTTAATCACATGAACAACTGTAAACTATCCCCCTCACTTATAATATTCAACCTTATCTTTTAAAACAAGCTATTTTCATTAAAATAAACAATGTATTTGTGATGAAACACGTCTGTTGTGCAAGTAGTGGCTTAAACATAGCCAGCCAGCCATGTCTGAAAACATATGATCTGACAAAACTATGTTGTCACAATGTGTCAGAGATATGTTTGAAGTTTAGCATAATGGGCATGTGGTGACCTGGTAAATATTATATTATGGGTTGATAAAACAAAGATAGGATAAAAAGACATAACACAAAATATCAACTTAGTGAAAGATATGATTGGTTAAGTTAAATTGTAAAACTGTTGTGTATTTTCAGGGTATTATTGTAAATGGTCCGAAGCTTTTTTTGTTCAATGAACATGATATTGTCATTGTTCTTTGTGTTTTGAAGTAACCTCCACCCATTCTAAATGTTCAAATATATCTTACATGGTATTTTCACCTCTTGTCATTGTTTGAAGAATGTATAAAAACAAGTCTTCAATCACAAACAATAGATATGGGAGTTTTTGTGTTTTTTGTCAGTTTGTGGTAACAGTTGTATGGTTTGGTTTCTCATGCATCAAACAACTGCCATTGAATATATTATTAATTTCATCATTCCGGTACACCGACAGAATACCGGATACCTACCAGCCATATTGTTTAGTGTCACGTCACACTAACCCAAACCCGAACCCAAACCCTAACTCTGACCCTAACCCTAAACCTTACTCCAACCCTATTCAAAAGTAAACTGCTTTCAAAGATGGTGGAAGGTATCCGGTATTCTGTATACAGTCTTACCATCATTCCATTTGGATAATGCATTTGAAAAAATAATAATCATTAATAAGACAAGGAATTTATTTTCAAGTGTAATTGTATACTGACTGCATTCCAAGTCCTATATTTCTGTCTGTGATCAGCATTGTGCTTTGTTTTTGGATTAAGGGGAAATAACTGTGATGCATTTGTACTCCAAGGGAGATCATTCTCACCAATAGAACTATATACATGTACAGGAAAGGGCTATAGTCCGTTTGGCTCAAAAGCAGACTGATGAATTGAAATCTAACTCGAAAACTAATAAACATAAAATACTCAATGAAACGCTGATCATAATCAAAACATCATACCCACTCTGTGAGGTTTTTGCAGAATTTTTGTCCTAAAAATAAAAAAGTTGTTTAACAATCTATCATTAAAATATTGACACAGTTTCACTATTTGTTACGAGGGAGGAGTGCAGAGAAAGGGACAGCCAGGTGTGCGAGAAAGGATGGAGACGGCACTGCACAGCTTAATCAATAAATGACTTTGTCTGTGAACGTGCTTCTCGAACACCTGGCTGTCTCTTTTTCTGCACTCCTCCCTCGTAACAAACAGTGAACTGTGTCAATATGTTAATGATAGTTTGTTAAACAACTTTATTATTTTTAGGACAAAAATTCTGCAAAAACCTCACAGAGTGGGTATGATGTTTTGATTATGATCAGCGTTTCATTGAGTATGTTATGTTTATTAGTTTTCGAGTTAGATTGCAATTCATCGGTCCGCTTTTGAGCCAAACGGACTATAGTTGGGGATACAGCAGTTGAGATTTTAACTTGTTGCTACTGAAGATGTTTATGGTATCTTAAGAGATATTTCATTGACTGTTGTTGTTTTAATGCAATACCATCTTATTGTTATGAATTTTATCCTGTAAACATTGTTTGTTATTAATTTATTACTGAATATTGTACATAAGTATGTATGTACTATATCACTGCCGTATTGGTTTCATACTGGGTGTGTTGCCCAAGAATTTGATTCCTTGGTAGATATCATGATGAATAAATTTTAAACATCAGTTAATATTGTTTGTACTTGCATACATGGACTTGATATTCCTTCGTCCCGTGATGATCCGGGGTAGAATATGTCTTCAGCAACCGGCCATGCTTGCCACAAAGGTCGACTATGCTTGTCGTAAGAGGCGACTAACGGGATCGGGTGGTCAGGCTCGCTGACTTGGTTGACACATGTCATCGGTTCTCAATTGTGCAGATCAATGCTCATTCTGTTGATCACTGGATTGTCTGGTCAATCTGGTTATTTATAGACTGCCGCCATATAGCTGGAATATTGCTGAGTGCAGCATTAAACTAAACTCACTCACTCAGTGATATACCTTCGAGGAGTGAGATAGCTCCCCAGCACTTAAAGGGGTGTCCAGTTCAGGCTAATAGGCAGGCACAGCAAATTTAGTTCAAATCTTTCAAATACCAATACAGTTGTTAGTTCACATTTTGTAATGTATAAAAGATTAACAGTTAGTGTTTGCTGAAATTACATAGGGACAGTAACACAGTATACCATAGGTATTAAATACACAGATAGATGTGTTTATTCAGTAATGTATTACCATATAGTTGTTGTATGATATAACATATGGCACAGGACACATCATTTTTATTTCCAGAACAGAAACTACAGAAATACAAATTTAGAACATGACCAGTACTCTTAAAGTATCCTCATTGTTTCTATATAAAATATTGCACAATGTTCTAATTGATGTTATTTAACACTGGATAGGCTTAGAAGATTAATCTTTCATCACGAAACGTTTGACAAACTCACAGGACATGGTTATTGTCTTCCTTGATCCTAAGTTCACCAAGTGATTTAACCACATGTTCATTTTTGTTTCTTTTTCTTCCTTTTTTTGTAGATTATTAATGAAAAAAATCACGAATAGATTCCAAAGTTACATAAAGTTCTTAGCAAAGACCTATCCAAAAAACACATAAAATATTTTTCAGGCTATAAAAACGATTTAATATTGCTATAATTACTTAAATAGTTCGAAGATGATATGAAACTATGCCAGTTGTGGAAATCAATATCTTTAACCATTGAATATAGATGTAAACATTTTAGAATCCAAAACAATTTGTGATAACCAAATGTGGTTAAACGCTGTGTCAAATGATATTTGATACCCAGTTTTGGTTTCCAGCATTTTAAACTTTACATAACATTGGTATGGATATCTAGAACAGTTCATTGTAGTAATACTATCCAGTGTTTTATAGTATGTTTGTTGGTTTTACTGTATAACGTCGTATGTCGTACGCTGCACTTAGTAATATTCCGTATACATGGCGACCGTCTGTAAATATTCGAGTCTGGACCAGATAATCCAGTGATAAACATCATCAGAATCGTTCTACGCAATTGGGGTACGATGACATGTGTTAATAAAGTCAGCAAATCTGACCACCTGATCCCGCTAGTCTCCTCTGACGCAGTATTTTATATCAAACTCGGTCCAACAACATGTATGTATGAACACAATTAACAGTATTATATAACAAACTCGGACAAACAGTATGTATGTAGAAATACAGTTAACAGTATTTTATATCAAACTCAGCCCAACAACATGTATGTAGAATAACAGTTAACAGTATTTTATATCAAACTCGGTCCAACAACATGTATGTATGAACACAATTAACAGTATTTTATATCAAACTCGGTCCAACAGCATGTATGTATGAACACAATTAACAGAATTTTATATCAAACTCGGCCAAACAGCGTGTATGTA